GCAAGTGTAAGAATTGATGCTAGTTTGAAGCCAAAGGGTAGTCACACCAAATATTGATTTGCTTTAGGTTTTTCTTCTGTTTGCTCACTTTGCATTTTGTAAATTGATAAACATAAATGATTACAATATATATTTTAGAAAGCATTCTTACTTTACAGCATTTTTCCACACCTGCCTAAAACTTTTGCACAGTACTGTAGTTTGAGTAAAGAAGAACTATCAGACACGTCTCATACAATATGAGAGATTCTGTTGCTATACCTCCCATCCTATTGAAGTATTCCCATTAGAACTGATGGATATGGTCTCTATGTCTACATTTCTATAATGGAATAGGACTCCCTTTGCTGTAGTCATGCTGGCTGGGGATTATGGGTTTTGATGTTCAACACACCAGAAGGGAAAATTAACTTTGTAGTGCAGGGGTGGATATCCTGGGACCCCCAGGACCCATTAAACTGAGTGAGTCTGTCTGTCTGTCTGTCTGTCTGTCTGTCTGTCTCCTTCCTTCCTTCCTTCCTTCCTTCCTTCCTTCCTTCCTTCCTTCCTTCCTTCCTTCCTTCCTTCCATGCAGCCCTTAGAACCCCCTCTGCGCATAATGGGACCCATTCAGTGGCTCTTTCCCACCGTTCTGAGGCAGGATATACAATCCTTGTTATTCACAGATTCTGTATTTGCAAATTCGTCTACTCAGTAACATTTATTTGTAACTGCAAAATCAATACCTGCAGTGCTTTTATGGTCCTTTGTGGCCACGTAGAGTGGTGAAAATTGTGAGTTGTCTGATGCATGTTCCCAGCTGTTTCAGTATTTGGTAACTCAGTGTTTGTGGTGACTATAGAATGTAACTACCACGAATAATGAGAATCCTCCACACATGAAAAATAAGTACAACTTTACCAAACAAACACTGTCCCAACTTTCTTGCATCATAAGAAAACCTCTAAAATCCTGGCCTGGCCCATGTGAGAGAATAGTCACGGTGCATAGAGGATCCAGTGGGAATCTGCCACTGTCTGCAAGCAGGGAGAACCAGAAAACAATGACCAGTGCTAATAACTAGTGTGTCTCTTAACACACAAGGTATACATTTCTTTATATATTTCCCTCCCACAATTCTTTGGAGGGCTGCTTCAATAAAAGATTGGACAGTATAATTCTAGTGCTTGGAGAGAAAGGGTAGTATAACATAGTGGCTTTATTGTTTAGTTTCGACTTAGTGCAGGCATTCTAAGACTGTTGGTTTCAACCTGGTAAGAGGTCACAAGCAACTTATAAAAAACAGGTCAGACTTGCACATGCAAAATAGGAACGCTTTTCAACACTTGCTCAGGATTTGTTCCCCGCTTTGGCTGCAAAAGCCCACTGTGGGTTTGCACAAGGAAAGTAGAAGTGTCATAACTCTAGCTCAGGCAAAATAGAGGTATCTTAACTCTAGCTCCTGGCTTTGCCTGCACTGGGAAGTTATAATAGTGCAGAGTTTTAGAACCCTGTGACATAGATAGATGATTTGCTTTACAGTAGCACCACAAACAACACATCTACTTAGGGTTTCTCTTCCTTTTCTTTCTTTCCTATCCTGACAAGTGCCAACTTCCATATTCCTGTGGGCTCTTTATGGGAAGCATGGTGGGGGGCGGGGGGGATTTTCCTCATTCCAGGGGTATGCTATTTCAGCCTTGCAGTAAGGGCCACAGTACTGCTAGGTGCTGTGCAATTCTGATAGCCCGCAGGCACAGTGTTGCTGTCTCCACCTCTTTAGGGAAACTGCATGGTGGCTGGTGAGGCTGGAACCTAGAAGAAGAGGGAGAGGGGGTTGCCCACATCCTCTTCAAACAATCCACAAGCACTGCTCTGATCCTATATCTGCTGGTCACCTGATTTCATTTCCAGGCTAATGGCTTGGCAAAGTGTAACTGATTGTATGAGCCCAGCTTAGGACAATTTAAGTCTAACTCATGAAGTGAGTCTGAAATGAAGGCAGCTTCACAGAGACATGGCAAAAGAAAGATGTTGCCAGGGTGTGTCTTCTACAAACACGCAACAGTAACTCCGCAACAAGGAGTTTGTGTCTTAGGTTAATGCCCCAGGTGCACACACATTTTCTCCCCTTAACACCAGGGCTGTTTGTTAGGTTTGGATTGCCAAAATCCAGATGGCCACTAGCCCACTGCAAAGAGAGGCTTTTCTCTTTGCTGCTTGCTTCTGAGTAAATGTGCATCAAAATGAACTGTAAGAAAGTGAACACAAGGGTAAAAAGATAGCAAAAATATTTAAATCAGATAACCAGAATAAATCCTTTAGATTTATCCAGTTTCCCTCTCTCAGTAATAAGCACCAGAGTCTTGTTTTTGAGTAAACAATTACAGGTTCAGGTTGTAAAACAGGAGTTCCACGCACAATTAATCTCTAGGAGAACCGTAAAAGCGGGTCAAAATAAAGTCCAAATCTTTATAATTTTAAATCCAAAAATGTGAAACTCCCTAATGCCACTGAGGAAGGCTTGGGAGTAAAACTCTGCAGCCTGTCGCCCAGCTCAAAAGCACCTCAACTCAGAATGCCAGTTGCTAAGGGAGGGCAGCCGGCGGAGACTCCCCCACTCAGATCCTGCTGTGGGCAATCCAGCCATCTGCTGGCCCCTGAAATAAAAGAGGTGGCGACCCAGAAGCATCTTCGAACAAGCATCCCAAGGCCGCTCCGCTGAATCCCGTCCCCAAGAACTTTCAAGGGAACGAGACGCAGCGCTCCCCTCCCGCTCCTACCACTCCGATCCGCAGACCGGGGCGGAGAAGACACGTAGCGGTGGGCGGGGTGAAGAATGTCATGTTGCCCAATGGATAACGCGCGAGGAACTCGCCCGTTCTGATTAATCTGTGCCGTAGAGAAAAAGGCGTGTCTTTCGGAAAGTGCGCGCGCAGGTGGGCCGGAGGGCTTTCCCCCTTGTTGGAGGTCGCCTAGGTGTAGTTGTTCGCGGCGTACTGGGGTGAGTAGATCTGTTGTCCGCCAGCGCTGCGGGAAAAAAAAAGTGGGGAGGACGGACTGGAGGAAAGAGGCAGGTTTAATGGAGAAACCCTAAGAATTGGAGTTAAGCTTTGCGAAAGCCTGGAGAATTTTAGTGCTCGTGCTTTGGGTCTGGCGGTGGGATGGAAATGGAGAGGAGAGGAGAGGAGAGGAGAGGAGAAAGACATTCCTTAGATCTAGGCCTTTTCTGTTATTCCCTCTCGCCGCTCCCGTTTTTCCAAATAAGTGACCTCAGGATATGTTGAATCTCAGTTCCCATAACTCTTGGCTGGTGTGGTAGAAGGGGGTTGGTCCAGCGCATATGGAGCACGGTCCAGTTCAATCTGGAATGTTACTCTGCATGTTAGCTCCAATGTAGATCTGAGGCTGCTTCCCTAACAGGATGTCCTTGGGCCTACCTTGCTCAGGGTGGCTGTTGGCCTTCTCAGACAGACGTTCTAAGGGTTCTGTTCCACATCTTGAAGTCCCCTGGTTAGGGAAAACCGAAATGAAGCTTTCTGGTGTTAACCAGACTTGTTCCTATGTAACTGTGCAAGATCATTGAACTGGGTGCTGCTACATTTCAGAAGTTAGTTTCTTACCTGTCTTTCTATTGTTGTCAATAAGGCAATATTAGAGACTTTGTTTCCCAACAATGTGTAGTGAGCCTTTCTTCTGTGTTTTCTGCTCATACATTATACTTTATTACATTCTTCTCCAAAAGCAGCAGGTGCTAAGATCTAAGTTGTTTAGCAGTGTGCTGATATTGTTTATATTTTGATTTAGGAGTAGCCCTTAAACAATGTATCTGTCAGAACCTACATCAATCAAATGTTTAGTCAAAAGAGAGTTGTTTTATTAGAGATAGTAATTACTAGGTGTGCTTAGTTTGCTTGCTTTGATTCTGCCAATTGTAACAAAGGGGGGGGGGAATAAACGAAGACAAAACCGGTGTCATCTTGAAGGCCAGGAAGAAGCGTGTTATCAGGGTGAGGAATTTACAAGGCCACGACTTGGTAAGAAAGAAAGCAGGCGCCAAAGTAGAAGGGGGGCAGAAGGGGTAAAAGTAGAGGAAAAATTACACAGGCTTTAGTTTTAGCAATGCTTTGCTTAGAGCTGCATGTACCATCCAATAAAGGAGCTTTATCATTGTAGACTTGACAGTATCTGGGATATAAATCTACAAGCAAATATAAGGTAGGTGCTACACCCCAATATTTGTCATTTTCTACCAAACGGGCTTGTTCCAGCTTCTTATTTATCTATCACAATTTTGAAATTTCATAAAGCTTTCACCTTAGCCAGACTGGATGCACTGCCCTCAGCAGTGCTATTTGGATGTTTTAAGGGTACTCCAGTGCACCTTCGATTATGTCCGTGTGGAGATGGCTCAATATAAACACTTAGCCATATGTTATTATACTGTTCCCTATATAAGGACTCTAGACAGATATTTATATACCTGATAGTGAAGAGATTTCCTGGCAGGGAATGTGATTTCTATTTAATGTTACTCCTTTTGGACAGGGATCCGAAAATATCCTCCCAAGTTGCCCAGTTTTGTGCTACCATCTGCGCAGTATGCTCCACCATTATTTAGATTTAAAACTTCATAACATAGTATTTTACTTTGATATTTTTTAGTACTTTTATTTTAATTTTAGATTAAATATTAATTCTTTTGTTCGATATATATACATAAATGTAAGATGGTTACTGTTATATATTTTGATTGTATCTGGCCTTAGGGCTGTAATAAACATGTGTGTGATTTAGGAGTGTTAAACCCTTTACAGTACAACAAAGGCTGGTAAAGAAGAATAATGGAAGATAAAAGGCAGAGAGCCAGAGTCCAGGGTGGCTGGGCTAGCCAGGGAAATAGCAGAATGACCCCATGTACAGGTAAATGCTGTCTTTTATTCTAAAGTATATAAACAAACTACATGAAAAGTTGCTGCCTTGCAGGAACACTACTGCCAATTCACAGATATCTCCTCCTACCTATAACTACTGCAGAAGGGGTTCCTCTATGCCAGTGTTTTTCAACCTTGGCAGCTTGAAGATGTGTGGACTTCTGAATTCTGAATTCTGTGGAATTCTGAATGTGTGAACTTCCAGAATTCCCTGGCCACCCTTGGCAGCTTGAAGATGTATGGACTTCAACTCCCAGAATTCCCCAGCCAGCCATTCTGGGGAGTTGAAATACACACATCTTCAAGCTGCCAAGGTTGGAAAACAGTGCTCTTTGCTGTTCCTTGGGTCTCTGAAGTAGCTCACTACAAGTGACTTCTTCTGATCTAACTTCCTCTATCAGCTGCTACTCTTATATAGTTAATTTTCTCTCCAAGTCAGCTCTCTATTGACTGTTGACCCAGCCTTGGGGATCAGCTGTTTAGAACAGCCATTTCTTTGGCCCCTCAGACCACTAAAGGATTGCATGATCTTAGTTTTTTGAACATGTGTACTAATGGCACAAGGGATTTTGCTTTTTGATCCTTAGGATTTGTGTGAGAACAAGGCTCTTGGCTTCAGTACAATCCTTACAATGATTGGCGTTTAAACTAAACTTAGTATTATGTTCCACTGACATTGCATCTGACAACATTTAGTGGAAAATACTCATAGAGCAGAAATACCTCAAATTTAGAGGCAGGTTTTGGCTGAGGCTAGTAGTTCGTTTGAAACATGCTAGCTTCCCATTTCTGTAAATAAAATAATATTTAAAACAATTAAATCACTTCAGCTGAAGGGGGGCTGGGAGAATAAGGCCTTTAATTGCCTCCCTAAGATCTTTAGAATGATGGCTCTAGAAACAGCTTCTTAGCCTAAGCGGTCATTGATCTGGGTTCTTAGAAACTTTTGAACAGAAGAATTTTGATTGTTCTAAATGGGAGATTTAATCTAGGATTTTTCAAATGTTTGTTTATTAAGTATGACACATTAATGTTGTATTTTCCCCAGTGACCCAAATAATTGAACAGCTCAGTAAAGGCCACTTCAGCCTAATTGTATGCATGGTCACTCAGAAATAAATCCTATTTAACATTGAAGCTTACTGCTAGTTAAAATATAGGATTGCAATGTAAGCTTTTTAAATGCTATTTAGGGAAGGAAAAAAAAACACCAGAGCTTCATATGATAGATTTTATTGGAAGAACTATAAAAATTTAATTTCAACTCAAAAGTATAGATTTCTTCATGAATAGCATAAAGGAAGTGAAACCACATACTTATTTGAGCCCGTCTGAAAGTCTCCGTGCATATATTTTCTAGGAAGAATAGCATGAAAAAATAATAAACTTGATTTTAGATTGTATTAATTTTAATGTCAGTTTCTCAAAGTACTTAATACGTGAGGGCTCTGCATAAAAGAATAAGTGCTCCCAAATCTCTGAGCCCTTTGATGAAAATCACAGTTCCTGAAGTAGAGACACCCAGGGATAAAATGTTACCAGTGTGTGTGAATGCACTCTTGGTGGTGAAAATATAATTACTAAGTAACATTGAAAATAGGAAATTTCTTGTTATCTAGTTTGGTTGAAACTGTTCCTTTTTATATTAGCTTTTAGAGATCCCAGTGCTAGAAATCAAGCATTTGCCAATTCAGCACCATCCAGGTTCCAAAGAGAGGCAGATCCATCCAAAAGACAATTTGTTTTTAAAGCACCTGAAGAGGTAAAAATATTGTATTATATTGTCCTTGCTTTGTTGATATATATATAAGACTGTCTGAACACATAACAAGCACATTTTAATGTTCCTTATGTGCATTGTTTTAAAAAATAACTCCCAACTCAGATGCATTATCAGCATCATAGGACAGCATAACTAAACAATTATTATTGGAATGTTCAGCAATATTTGTCACTTTGGTTACAAAATATATGATTTTTATTTTTTACCCCACCCCCCCCTGTAAATTAGTACTCTTTATGTTTAATTGCCAAAACCTGATAATCTACCTATTTATCCTATTTAGATAATTTGCATCATGATCTATAGTGTTTCCCATCTCAAGGTAGTTATATAAAAATAATTAAAAATACAATTTTAAACATGATTTAGTAATACAAAGTAGCACTGGGAAACTTAAACATGCTCAGAATATTAACAGTTCTTTGTCCCTTTTTAATTGTAACAGCACGAATATACATACTTTATAAAAATGTGAGTTTTTTTTAATCCTTAGGTTGTATGCAAAGTCCCAGAACCCAGATTAATAGAGTAAGTATTTCCAATCATTTTAATATTTCTTGATCCATTAGGCTTTGTGGCTCTTAACATGTTTTTACTCCCACATCCCATAGATTTGGTAAATTTTATTTCCCTAACCCTGATTAATAGTTTGAACCTTTTATGTCTACCCAACCATGATGGATTTTTACCCCTCTGCTGCAGGAAACAGGGTCTATATGAGATCAGCACATTGCCCTCAGGAGTATCAAAGTAAGTATCTAATACTTTGTGTGTGTGTGTGTTCTTGCAGGATACTGCAGTAAGGGTATGTTCCAGTATCTGAATCAATCTGAATATTAAGGAACTATAGCAAAGATGTTTTTGTAAAGGACAAACAGACGTGGAAGACCATGGTATTCTTTAGAAAATTATTAACAATTACATTTTTCTTAACTTTCACCCAAGCTATGAACATTCTTTTATCTTTACTCACAGGCACTTGTTCTAATAACATCCATATTAGCTTTCTTTTCTGACATAAGGTATCTGTCTACTATAGAGCCTACTATAGAGTCTACTATATAGTTAACTGTTTTTTAAAGCTGTCTTTACTAAATCTTCCTCTAGCTGAAAAGTATCATTGGGTCAAGACCATTCCTATCAATTACCTTCTGTGATGGAATGGAATTATGAAGGCCACGTTCAGGGAGACAAACATTTTCTTAGCTCACCAGAACCTCATGGGAGGATAAGAGGATGAGACTGGCACCTCCCTGAGGAACAGCCACACTGTTGTGGCTGGAGGACTTTTGGGACTGGGGTTTTAGTCTTGGAAGAATCTTGCTTAAGGTTGTAGCTAATAAACATAGCTGGACTGAATTGGCATTGTCTCTTGGAGTTCCTTGGGCTGGGCCTGACATCAATCTTCCCATGAGGTCCTATGAACTTGGCCTTCATAATTCCATTCCATCACACCTTCCAACAATTTAATGTATTTATTTGTTAGATTTATATCCTGACTTTCTTTCAAGAGCAGAAGGCAACCTACATGGGGATTTCCCCTTATTGCACACCCACAACAGGAATCCTGTGAGGTAATGTAAGCTGAGAGAGAGAGAGTGGCTCAAAAACATCCTGTGACTTTCTATGGCAAAGGGTAGATTTGAAAGTGGGTCTCCCCAATCTTAGTCCAACATCTTATCTACCATACCAGCTCTTTGTAATGTGGGAAATAGCTGTAGCTCTCTTAGACTGACAATTAGCTTGAGTATTTCTTCTGCCTTGCTTACTAAATCTTGTATCTTACTTACTTAATCTTTTTCTGATGGATCCAAAGAATGCTATTAGAGGAAGAAATATCTCTGCTTGTGGGGGTTGGGGACTTACCTGTAGACTTTTTGTTTGGAGAACATAGAGCCTTATCCCTTCCCCAAACCACACCTTCTCCTTGATGTACAAGAAATTCTGTGCTAATGAAAGGACATTATTGAACTTAATTTTTCTTTTCTAATGAAGAAAAACTTACATTAAATGAGCGGAGAGCCCCTTTCACTTACAGAAGACTTGTGTTCAGAAAAAGTAATCTCTGTATTCAGTTTATTGCTTTTAGTCATGCTATCTATATGAGAACCAAAATGATTCAAAATGTATTACATGAGATTCCAGATCTGCATTTAAGAAATATATAAAGTTAACAATAAATGAATTGGTACTACCACTAGATCCAAACTACATAAAACTGTGAGCACGTTTGACTCATATAGCCTCACTGACCTCTAATCTGCTTCAGAGAATCTACCATTTGCATATGGCTCTCCTGAATGACCTGGAACACTGTAGCATTATGCCTTCAATCCTGCTTTGGCCACTATCATTGGCTCACTGTGATACTATGGGCAATGATATTGAAGGTTACTGAGAAGTCCGGGAGAATTAACAATACTTTCCCAATCATTTTTCCAGCATAAGTCATCCACTGAATTGACCAAACAACAGACCAGAAACAAAGTAGAACATATCCAAAATATATCTGTTTTTAAATCAAAGCCGTTATTAGTTCACAACATTTTCAGAATGATCAGAATAGTATTAGAACACTTTGGTAAGGTCAGAACAGCCCATTTAAAACTCAAAACATTTTGAATTGTTAAAACTTTGCATATCTCTACTCCTGACTACTTATGAGGTAGCCTGAGGAGCAACAGACTTTTCAGTGCATTGTCTCACTCAGTTTTCAGCTCTTGGTCTCATCTCAACCTGCCCCTTACTGCTTCTTCTATATCATTTCAAGATACTAGTCTCTGAGAAGAGAATGATTCCACGTTCATACCTATCTGAGGGAGAAATCTTCTGTAGTTAGCCTCTATGGCAAGCATTTAGGAATATAATCCTCCTGGGCTTGTTTCTTTCATGGATGGGGTCCACTGCTTCTTGAGTGTGCAGACGTCTTCCACAGTCATGGCCTGCTGTTGTCTGATCATATGGCAAAATTCTCTTCCAAGCTATTGTTTTGTGCACCTTGGCACTTCTAGTCCTCCTCTGCATTCTTCTTTGATGATACATGTCATAGGATAAGGGTTGTATTTAAAGGTGTGTCAGTGTATCGGATGTTGGCCTTATGTTACCGAGATAGATGGAATGAAAAGGATTAGAATTTCAGACTGACTGCATTGTAAATCCAATGTTGTAGTTATTTACATTCTTAAATAATGGGTAGGAAGCCTCAAACCTTCATGTTATTTGCAGCCCCCAAACCTCCATCCACATGGACAAGGGTGAAGAATAGTAGTAGGTGAGGGGTGATGGTTAAGAGCAGAATATGTGCTTTTAACCTCAGGGTAAAATAATTTTTAAAATTTCAGTTCAGTCAGCTTTGATGACATGAGACCATCCCCTTCGTCCTCCAGGTAAGGTACAAGAAAAGAACTAGGCAACCTGTGACCTGTTGGGTTCACATTTCAGAGATATTCCTTACCTAAACAGAGAAACAGAAGGGCAAAAAAGCAGTGGGAGCAGGAGTGACTTCTGACTTCCTGCTGGCTTCCCCATTGACTTGTGGGAATCTGTCAGGGAGCACTGGAAATGACGATCCCGTGACTGCAGCAGCCCTGAAGTGGCCACAACTTTGCCAAATTTCAATCCCGCAGGAGTAATGGGTCCTGGATTTTGGATGCATTCTTTAAGTTAGCCTATTTGAGGTACCTTGGTTCAAAAATTGTTGCCCTGTGAAGGTTACAAATAGACAGCAGAGTTTTAGTAGCATAAAAAGGCTAAAAAAGGTTGACCAACACTACTATAAAAATAAGCAAATGGGGGTAGAAGAACTTGATAACTTCTAAAGCAACTCACTATATTGTTGTACTGGGTGCAGAGAAGGGCGGCTACTCTTTCTTAGCAACCCACTTGTTTTCTTTGCTCGGTAGAAAGAAATGACACAGAACCTGCCTGAAATGTCTTATTTTGAAATGGATCAGAAAATATCAATGCATAGTGTGACTTTTCTTTATTCTAGGATTCATTTGATTCCTGGCTTCATTTCCTTGAGTGAAGCAGACTGGATGTTTGACCAGCTTTTCCATGAAATTCCATGGAGGCAAAGAACACACGTTAGACACGGTAGCTATGCTGTCAGTCTCCTGTTTCCACCAGGCCCAGCAGTAACTCCTGGCATACTCACTCTAGTAGAATCAATTGCAGCCAACACAGTACCTGGCCCTCTGCCACCATCTCTAGTCTCCACTTAACATATAGATTTTGGGCTAAATTGTATAAGGAGTATAAGGAGATAGCTAAAACAAACCATTACTTGTTCTTTCGTGCTCTAAAGGAGGTTCAGAAAGGGTCTGTGCATCTGCTGGTGATTTTTCTTTGCTGAGTGATTATTTTGTTGGTGATTATTTTTGCTGAGAGGCTGGAGATCCATTGTCATTTCAGCTCTGAACTGGTCTGCTTGTTCCTGATTTTATACTGAATTTCAGAAGGCAGTATGAAGTTGGGACCAAATCTTCTGTGGTAGAGCAGGTTCTGACAATGGCATATATTTGGTTCATTGTTTCTCAACTTGGACAACTTGAAGATGTGTGGATTTCAATTCCTAGAATTCTGGGAGTTGAAGTCCACACATTTTCAACTTGCCAAGGTTGAGAAACACTGCTTTGGTTGTTTACCCAACAAACGATTTATTTATTTATCTGTTGGATTTGGATATGAGTATTACAACATTCAGCTTTGTGGAATCTGATAGGTTTCCTTAGCAAAGCATTTAACTATTGTAATGCAAGAACAGCTATGTGGTCTGAACTTGGTTCACTTGGGGGCATTTGTGTTACTTCTCACATTTACTTCTATAGATTTGTATTTCAAGCAAGATGACATAGTTGATGCATAAATAGCCTAGAATAATTTTCTCTTGGCTGTATTACTTATGAATTGCCAATTAAAAGTCTCATTTGCTGAGCTTTTTTATCTAGAGAAGGAAAAAAAAAATTGTTAAGAGTCATCAGTAAGCCATTTATTCCCCAAATGCTAAGAAACTTTATAACCATATAATATTGGTTTCCATAGAAGCCATAATTATTGCATCCAATTTTCTTTCTGTAGATCAATCTTATGATGAACCGAGACTCACAGCATGGTATGGAAAACTACCCTACACCTATTCCAGGCTTGAAATGCAGGCAAACCCTGATGTATGTATGAATCTTAAGCCTTTCTAAAGTGAAAAAAATAAAAAGGCCTAGTAACAATGGTGATCTGAATTTCAGGCATTTCCACACACAGCTACAAGCTTTCTCTTCTTGTCCTCTGCAGGAATATTCCACTGCTATGCCCTCTCATGTTGCCAGCCAGCACTTCCACCAATGAAAGTGTACAAAAAATAGTTAGCCATTGCCCTGCCCCCCTCCCCCACTTTCCTCACTGTGATTTCTTTTCAGGCAAGGGGAAAAAATTAAAACCCCACTGGATACAGGGGGTGGGAGTGAGGGAGAGCAGCAAAGCTACCTCTTAGTGCAACCGTGGAGAATTGTGAATGGGGTAAATCTCCTGAGGCAGGATAAAACAGAGTTTCCTTCAGTGGAAAATCCCTACACCGCAGCTCAACTGTCTTCACAGTGTTACCTTTGAAACAGAAAGTAAGCTGATAGATCATCAGTTCAGCTCCCCCAGACCTTTAAAAACTTCATGATCTCAGAAGGGGCTAGGGATGTATCATCTTTTCAAGATAGATTAGACTAGGAATCCAGGGTCATGTAGGTAGTACTACTATTATTGTAAAGCTATAGTAACAGAATCTTGCAAGTCTGAATGTGCCTCCCTCTCCTTTTATCTTTGTGACAACTAGGGAGGGTCTTGTCTGAGTTGTTTACTCAAGTTACATTTCTGCCCTGGACTTAGTCCTCTTTTATCTGACCGTTGTCTTGGCAGCAGCTCTTCTTCCTGTCCCTCAAACCGTTCTTTCTTCCTCTATGGGGGTATGTTAAAGTTTTAAAAAGTAAGGAGTGGATGTTTTGGCAGCAATAATATAATTATACTTTCTTACTGTGCCTGGCTGAGGAGGTTATGGAATTCAGTTATTGAGCTTTCAAGTCAAGGGCATTACAGAATAGGGACTTTCAACCTGTTTTGTTCCATCTGCTGTGCTGGTTTCATAGCTAAAGCTTCTTCTTGCTCAGTTAGATTGGAGAATTGAGCATGGAGAAGGAATATTTCATTAACATCTAGTTTGGGCAGTGGACTGCACTCACAGAGAATTTCATGTGATTTGCTTGAGTCTCATTTTCAATTTTCAGCCTTTCCTCTTCTTGTTCCTCTGCTTAATTAGGTATCACTTCTCAACCCTTGACTCAGAGGCATAGCCTATGAGTTTTTTGTAAGACCTAATATGTACTTTAAAACGTGTTGATCTTATACCTTTTTCTAAAATAAGCTGTCTTACTCTTACTCCAAGGATATAGAAAAATGCCCGTTGCCTTGTACAAATCTCTGTTCAGTGATGGAAAATTCTGCTGTGAAAGAAAAAAAACAAAATCTTGCATTTATCAAACACTGGAGGGCAGTATTGGAAAAGAGCAGAGTAAAAGTCACTGTTACTCTTCATGCCTCATAATCAAATGATACAATATTTTTTCATTACTTCAATTAGAATTGAAGGAAGAAATTAACACTGGTTTACCTATCAATAGCAGTGATAATTGCAACTTTAATTCAGATTTATGCCATGGTTTGCTAAGGGAAAAAAACCCAACAGCCCTGGGTGTTAAACCATTGAGGCAATTCTAGAAATTTTATTAACAATGTTGAATTTATCATAACTATAATTCCCATGGACAGTGAATTAGGCAGCATGCCAGTTAAGCAGGTTTGTAACTGATTTAATTTTTGTGATTCAAATATGCACCTGCAACCAGGTGAATATTTAACAAATTATAGGGAGTCCTCACTTAGTGACTGCCTTGGAAGCCATGACATCTTGCACCATCAAAACACCTGGATTCATCAGATATGTCCCCCTTTTTCACCTCAGTCCCCAAGGGACGTTATTGAGAGCTTCCTAAACGTTAGAAGTGAGGGTAGGGTTCTTATATCTGATGGGAGGCCATTCCACAGGAGGGAACTCCCACAGAAAATGCTTCCCTCAGAGTCCCCTCTCATCCACCTTGCAAGTGGTGGAAATTTCTCTCTACAGGGACATCTTGGGAAGGCAAATTCTAAATGGACCCAACGATGGTCTGGCCCCAGTCCATGTAGGATTTTAAATGTGATCATCAGCGCCTTGAATGGCACCGAGAAACACTCCTGCCAGTTGCATGCATGTGTCCATATAGTTTTCTTGGCAGTAGTACAAACATGGTTTGCTGTTCTTCTGGGATTTTTTTTTTACTTCCTAGTCTGTCTCATAGAAATATTGATAAACTGCCCACTTTCTTAAGGGTTTGCAACCACTTAACTGCTTCATGTTCCTACATACATAAGATGAGAAAGTCTTATTTCATTGTGCTTAAAATAGTGAACACAAGTTTAGGTTCCAGGTACAATAATTTTCCTTATTTTTCAAGCTAGTGTTAACAGAGTTGGAAGCAGACTTTGTGGTAATAAGCTATTTGATCTACTGGGCATTGATGTTTGTGACAACTTGTGATGTTTACCTTTTTTTTTTTTTTGCTCTGTTTTCAGTGGCACCCACTACTGGCCATGTTGAAGGATCTCATAGAAGATTTCACTAAGAACACCTTCAACTCCCTACTCTGTAACCTCTACCGAAATGAAAAGGACAGTGTTGATTGGCATAGTGATGATGAACCTACACTGGGAAAAAACCCCATAATTGCGTCGCTTAGCTTTGGTGCCACCCGGATGTTTGAGATGAGGAAGAAGCCTCTGCCTGTGAGTTTATAAAGCTGGAATGTAATCCAGTAGAAACAACATATTTTAAATACTTTAAATGCATAATATAATACAGCTCTTTCTGTCCACATACCTAAAACCACAGGTGGGCAGCACATAAACCCAGTCCGCAAGCCGTTATTAACCAGTTCATAGTCCTAATAGCATTGATGAACTGTGTTGGGATAGGGTGGGATGCATTGGCAATAGCTCAGTGATAGGGTGCATAGTCTGAACATGGGTTTTTTTGCTGCCATTTCTGGATGAGGCTGGAAAATATCCTGCCTTAATTGTAGTGATTTCCCATTATGAGGAGGATGGGGATATTGTATAGTAGATGACGGAGGAGTAGCTGATTGGAGAGGTACATAAAGCAGCAAGTAGCTTGTATTAATGTTTAGCTGTTACGCTGAAATTCATTGAGGCTTAATATCAGTCATTTATTTTTGTAGTGGTTAAGGCACCAGGCTAGAAACCAGGAGAATGAGTGCTAGTTCTGCCTTAGGTATGGTAGCCAGCTGGGTGACTTTGGGCCATTTTAACCCTAGGAAGGAAGCAGTGGCAAACTGCTTCTGAAAAATCTTGCCAAGAAAACTGCTGGTTGGTGAGGTTTATAATCAAAGTTTGGTTTGAAATAGTAAGATATGCTGCCTGTAGCTTGAGACTGGAATACCAAAGTTGAAAATAATAAGGAGGAAAACATGATTGGGCTCTAAGGGCTAAAAAACAGAAATGAAACAAGAGAATGACTTATCTGCTAATCCAGTGATTTTTTAATTGCTAATGCATTCTTCAAGCAATAGAAACTGACACCTACATACATGGACATCACTAGATGGAGCACACAGAAATCAAGTTGACTATACTACTGGTGCAAGGAGGTAAAAGAGCTCAATTATAATAGCAAAGCACTTTCTACAATACAGGTAGTCCTTGCTTAACATCCACTCATTCAGCAACTGAAGTTACAATGGTGCTGAATGAGGGGAACTTAACGGTGGGTCCTTGTAGTTGCAGTTGTTGCAGCGTCCCCACATTCATGTGATCGCAATTCAGGCGCTTGGCAACTGGCTTGCAGTTACAACATTGCAGTGTCCTGCAGTCACATGATCACCATTTGCGACCTTCACTACTGGCTTCTGACAAGCAAAGTCAATGGGAAAGCCAGCAGGTGGTTGAAATAGCGATCACATGATTGAGGGATGCTGCAACCATGCAGGATTTGCCTAACAATGGTAACTGGGACTGCTGGGACTGCTGTTGTAAGTCAGCACAGTCATGTGACACTGTGCCTTACAACCACATTGCTTAGTGATGGAGTTCCCGGGCCCAATTACTGTTAGTAAGCAAGGACTACCTGTATGCCTTGAGCATATGTCTACCTTTCAAGGAGAACATTGGATATAGGAACAGGAGGAACTGTGGAATGAAATCAAAGAAGCTGTTAAGGATGAAGTTAAAGAGACTGGCAAAAGCCAAAAAGAAAGAAACCAAATTGGGTGTCAGAACAGATAGTGGAAATTGCCAAAAAGAGAAGTCAGATTTAAGAAAGACAAAAATCTCGGGAAGAAACTGAATAAAGAATTTCAGAGACTTTATAGAAGAGACAAGAAACACTATTACAATAATATCTGTAAAGACACCAAAGATAGAAACAGACACGGGAAAAAAAGGAAAATTTTTGAAAAGAAGGAGGTTCCAACCTCAAATTGGCATGCTGAGGGATGCCTATGGACAAATACTAACTGATTCAAAGAAGACCAAACAGAGAAGGAAGGAGTATATTGAAATTCTGTACAGTAGAGACATCAATGTCCAAGATACCTTAGAAGATATTCCCTACTTAACAAGAACTTCTAGTATTAGAAGATGGAGTTAGATCAGCACTCCATCATTACTAGGTTGGAAGGCTACAGGAAATGATGGAATAACCACAGAAATTATGGCAATCAACAGAAGAAGAATCAGTGAAAGTTCTAACCAAGCTATGCCAACAAATCTGGAGAATGACATGGTGGCTAAGAGATTGGAAGAATTCAATCTACATTCCAGTTTCAAAGAAAGGAGACTTAACAGCGTATAAACTATTATACAATATCCTTAATTTCACATGCTAGCAATATAATGCTTAGGATCATTCAAAATTACAGCCCTGCATCGAAAGGGAAGTGCCAGATGTCCAAGCTGGCTTTAGAAAAGGCCAAGGAATAAGAGACATCATTGCTAATGCATGCTGGATAACTGAGAAATCCAAATACCAAAAAGAAGACACTATATTCTTCATTGATTATAGAAAAGCCTTTGATTGTGTTGACCATGTCAAGTTTAGGAGTATGCTTAGGGAAATGGGAATCCCAAAATATCTCATTGTCTTCATATGAAATCTCTACACTGGACAGGAAGCCATGGTCTGGATAGAACATTGTGAAACAGATTGGCTTCAGGTTGGCAAAGGAGTGAGACAACACTGCATACTCTCTCCTGATTTATTTAGCTCATATGCCAGGGGTTCCTAAACTTTTTACCATCACACCTCCCTTGATCTACCTCCCCTAAAAATCCAAAGGCCAAAATCCTCTGCCTTTTTGGATTGACTGTCAGCAATAAAGAGTCTTGATGCTTGAACTTTGGTGTTGGAGAAGACTCCTGAGAATACTATGGATAGCCAAGAAAACAAACAATATATTGCAGAATAAATCAATCCAGAGTTCTCAGTTGAGGCACAAATGACCAGTTTCAGATTGAACACATTATGCATACAGTCAGCTCCCTTGAGAAATCCATAACACAATGAAAAATAGAGAAAAAGAGGATGACCAGCGGCAAGGTGGATGGACTTGATTACAACAATATCTTTTGAGAGATCTGAAAGGCCAGGTTGGGGACAGATCAGTCTGGAGAAGGTCTATCAATATAGTCCCTGAGATTTGATTTGATGGCACATAACCAATCAATCAATGCCAGACCAAGCTTTTGGATCAGAATGCTAGTTGAGCTTTGTGGACTTGCCTCTCTGATAGCACCCCTTTGCTGGAAAAAAACTATGAGAGTTGCTTTCAAAAAATATGGTGATATTCGTATCTGCAGTGCTGTGATGAGAACATAGCCTAGTGTGAGTGCATGTCTGGTTCCATTAGTAAATAATGTAATTTAGAATGCTGAAAAAGTCTCCAATATAACTTTTAAGTTCATTTAGGCCTAACTAGTTTCAAACTTTTCTAAACTTGGTTTCTGTTTTCAAATGCAGTCTGAAAGTCTAATGGAAAATTTGTTCAGCTGCTCATGAATAGTTGACGGAGGCAGTTGTTCAGTTGCCAAGATCCCTGGGACTTCAAAATATTGGTTGTGTATCATTACTGTAGAACTTGTCTTTCCCCTGCCTTCATGAGGCTGAATTTAAGTAGTAATGTTTTCTAATAGTCAAGCTTGACTGCAGGTGACCTTACAAACACATCCATGTAGGGTTTTTTTTAAAAAACAATGGATGAGGTTCACATTGCTTTCCTCCAGGATTCCCCCCACCCCCAAATCTACCATCCTTGCATTCTCCTAAGGACTAACTAGAGTCAACACTGCTTTGAAATTTTAGTTTGTTTCAGAGCAGCCAACAAATAATCTACACATGAGTTCTTCAATATCCTAAGTGTTTATTAAGCAGAAGTACAGACTTAGGGCATGCTTCATCACCATTGAAAGCTCTCTGCAGACAAAAATAGGACATTTTTTTCTTATATGTAATTGAAGTTACATGGTTCAGATCATCCTTCATTGTCCTGATGCTGTCTAGATGTGATGGTCTACAGGTAGTCCTTGTTTAGCAACCACAATTGGGACTGGCAACATGGTTGCTAAGCAAAGCGGTCGCTAAATGAAAAATCACATGACTGCGACTGTGCTTACAATTTTACACAGAACAACACATTCTGACTGACTGTAATGGCGAACATATGACTGAGAGAGACACTGCAAAGGTCGTAAATGCAGGCATTGTTCACACAGTTGCTCTTTCAGCACCATCCCAGCTGTGAACAGTCACTGTATGAGGCAGTTGCTAAGTGAGGACTACCCATATAACTCCTAGAATTCCCACCCAGTGTGACCCTGAGAGTGTAACTCAGTCAACGTCTTATGAAGGGTAGATGACCCAGGATGAAAATTCTCATATCAAGCTTGGGAAGACTGGTCCACATATTCAAATTGGCTTTCATAATTTTACATGTATGCATCTTGAAGTTAACAGAGTTCTGATAGAAGCTTTAGTTTTAAATGAATCCCAATTCTAATTCTATGACACTTCATTCAAAAAATAATTTTGCTTATGATTAGCAGATATGTTTTTACAACTTGCTTTGAACACATCAGAGGAACCTGTAAGATCATCTAGTAGCTTAGGATGGGATGCCACATCCCAGCAAGTTCTAGGTCTTCCTTTCAGCAAAGGGTAATGTGTGTTTTATAAACATACTGTATACATTGTGTGTCTATAAAACATCTGACTTCTGCAAAATATTTCCTATGCATATTTGTTGTTGTTTAGTCGTTAAGTCGTGTCCGACTCTTCGTGACCCCATGAACCATATTGCGCCAGGCCTTCCTGTCCTTCACTGCCTCCCTGAGTTTGCTCAGTTTCATGCTCATTGCTTCAGT